TTCTTGCTCCAAAGAATCAGAGATTGTAGTTCTTGTATTAAGATTTTCTTGATAAATATTATCTATGTCATGAATAGATACTTGAAAAGCATGTACTAACTTAGGAAAATTTTGTACTCTAGTTATCAAAATTGTCTTTTTGCCAATCCCAACTACCAAACTTTAAAATTCCCATATGGCAAACCTCTTTTTTTTGTTCTCTTTCCTTATTTTCTTTCTCCAGTGCTTCCCCTTTATTGATTACTCTTGTAGGCACATCTAAGTTGTCACCAGCCTTGCTGCTGTTATCCTTTCTTTTTTCTATATCAATGTCCTCAACTCCATGAGTGGCTTGATTCTCCTGATATGAATTGAGTGCAGTGAAGAAAGGAAATCCATATCCAGAGTCTTTTTGATGGAGTGCATAGCATTTTTGTCTAAATGTCTTTAATGATGCTATCCCAGTGTTTAAAATCTGCATGTGTTCCTCTTTCATATCCTGTGCACGTGTTTGTGTATGTTTGCATGGCTTGATGGATGCCCAAATTCAGAATTATGGATTAACCCAGAATTTTAAAGGTGAGGGATTCATATACTACACTTACCTCCTTTTCTTTCACTGTTTGTACAGCATTTTCTTCATTGGAGCCCTCCTCCATTTTATCTGCAAGTTGTGGTGATTGGTGCTTACTAATTTCTTCCTCCTCAAACATGAGACTTTCTGCTTCTTCTGATGTGTTGGTTGTTTTAGGTTGTTCATGTACCTGAAGAAAAGGAAAGAATAAACATTGTTGAATCATGAAATTCTCAACTCATGCTCATGAACAAGGCTCTTAAATTTCTAAATGTGGTCTGAACCAACCTCTATTTCAGGCATCTTTTCTTCTTTTTTGGCTTCTTGGGGGTTCTCATATGATTCTTCTTCAATTGATTCTGGTGAGGCATCTCCATTATGAGATTCATCATTTATGACAGACTGCTCTGTGTCCTCTTCCTTATCTTCAATTTTTCCACCGTCATGTACCTGCATGATAGATAGGGGTATAACCTCAAGAACAGCTATAATGATTTCATTTTTCCTTCTAAAATGAAAATTAGTGCGATTAAGTGTTAATGATCCTCCTAAACTAGACCTCAGATTCTTCCTTCTTTGTATTAACTTCTATGTCCTTCATCACATCTTCATATTCTGTTCTTTCTTGAGAGTCCAGTTCGTATGCCTTTGCAAATGCTTCTTCCTCCAATTCACCCACTTTTGTCTCCTGCTCAGAGATTATGCTCTTCTTGCTTGCATCAGGTGTCTCAGCATCTAATTTGAGATCCTACAATGTGCATATGATTTTATATCAATAAATGTCATCATTTTAGTAATGGGAACTTTGACGTCAAGACATTCTAGAAAATTAGGATTGAATTCTTTTTATACCTCCTTTGTTGTGTCATTTTCTTCAATGCTATTGTTATCAATTGCCACTGTAACTTTCTCTTCATCTCCTAGAGTTTTTCCAGGGTCGTGAACAACTTCATTCACCAGAGAAGGAATTTTATCAGCTTCTGAAGGGATTCTCTCAGCTTCCTCAGATGTCAGCTGCAATGAATGCTCAAGTTTCTTCCCTTGTTCACTTTCCTGCAAGATCTTTGATTCTTCTTCATTCTCCAATATTCTCTTTTCATTTTGTCCTTCAGTCTCACCTTGCTTGATGTCATTGCTGCTTCCTTCAGCTAGTATGACAAAAGATTTCTCCTCATTGCCTTTCTCCTCTGGCAAAGCTTCTGTTGTATCAGCACTCTTGCACTCAGTTGGCAATTTATCTTCTTGTCTCATCATTGAAGTGTCAAGTGTTTCCGGTGGACTTTCAGCTACTTGACTTGTGTCACTGGCAATGCTTTCTTCTGCTGCTACCTCAGACTTCTCAAGTTTCTGCGGGAATTTGGTTAAGTAGTATTGTAAAACTATGAGGATAATATTAATAGTAGAAACCAAAGTTTGCTACAACATTCAAAGTGAAGCTAACCTCCCCATCAAACTTGTCAGCATCTTTTTCATCAACTTGAAAGCTCTGGTCTGAAAATTCTTCAGCAGATTCAGGTCTGAGATCCTCATTTTGTCCATCTTTTGTGACACATTCTGTATCATCCCTTTGTTCTGATTTTTCTGCCTTGTTCTCATCATCTCTACAGCTCTCAAATCTTTCTTCTTCAGTCAGTTTTGGCAAGGGAAGCAAATAATTATCTTTTGTGATTTCTTTGTTGGCCTCTGAAGGGCATATGATCTCTGGTCCATCATGTACCTGGAATAACAAAATTGAGGTTTAAACATAATACAAACCCTTGCAGAGGATTATATCCCTAATCTATGTGCGTGTTTTTTCACATTCTAATACTGCAATCGTACCTCTTCTTCCATAACATTATTATTCCTTTCATCAGCATCTTCTCCTTCGTAATCCCTGTCCCCTCCACTCAATATTGGTGTTGACTCTAGAACATTCATAACTTGAAAGTTCTCAAGTTTCTCATCTATGATAGATATAGAACTGCCAACCTCAACTGAGGGATCATTTACAGTTGCACCTTTGCTGGCAGCATCACCTGCGGCAGGTATTACAAAGAAGTCAGTGGCTTCAAGTTCATTTGGAGTCTCCTCCATGATAATCTCTGACCTGAGATTGAAGAATTGAAGACTACTGTGAAATTTTAATTCATTATGTTGATTGGTGCTTACTAATTTCATCCTCCTCAAATTTGAGTTTTTCAGCATCCTCAAATGTGTTAGCTGTTTCAAGTTGTTCGTGTACCTGAAGAATAGGAAAGAATATAGAATATAGATTGTTGAATCATCAAATTTTCAACTAATGCTCATGAACAATGCTCTTAAATTTCTAAATGTGGTTTGAACCAAACCTCTATTTCAGGCATCATTTCTTCCTTTTTGGCTTCTTGGAGGCTCTCATATGATTCTTCTCCGATTGATTCTGGTGAGGCATCTCCATTTTGAGATTCATCATTTATGGACTGCTCACCGGTGTCCTCTTCCTTATCTTCAATTTTAGCACCTTCATGTACCTGCATGATAGATAGGGGTAAAATCTCAACAACAGCTATAATGGTTTCCCTTTTCCTTCTAAAAAAAAAAAGAATGGGATTAAGTGTTAATGATCTTCCTAAACCAGACCTCCTCAGCTTCTTCCTTCTTTGGGTTAACTTCTATGTCCTCCATCACATCTTCATATTCTGTTTTTTCTTGTGAGTCCAGTTTGTATGCCTTTGTTAATGCTTCTACCTCCATTTCACTAACTTTTATGTCCTGTTCAGAGATTATCTTCTCCTTGCTTGCATCAGATGTCTCATTATCTAGTTTTAGATCCTACAATGTGGATATGATTACATCGTCATTAAATTATCTCTTGCATTTAGAAATGTTATTATTTTAGTAATGCAAACTTGGACATCAAGATATGCTAGAAAATTAGGATTTAATTCTTTTTTTTTACCTCTTTTGCTGTGTCATTTTCTTCAATGCTATTGTTATCAATTGCCCCTGTAGCTTTCTCTTCATGTCCTAGAGGTTTTTCAGGGTTCTGAACAACTCCTTCCATGAGAGATGGAATTTTATCAGCTTCTGAAGGGATTCTCTCAGCTTCCTCCAGTGTCAGATGCAATGAATGCTCAAGCTCCTTCTCTTGTTCACTTTCCTGCAAGATCTTTGAATCTTCTTCATTCTTCAATATTTTGTTTTCATTTTGTCCTTCGGTCTCACCTTGCTTGATGTCATTGCTGCTTCCTTCAGCTTGTATGACAAAAGATTCCTCCTCATTGCCTTTCTCCTCTGGCAAAGCTTCTGTTGTGTCTGCGCTCTTGCACTCAATTTGCAATTTATCTTCTTGTCTTACCATTGAAGTGTTAAGTGTTTCCTGTGGACTTTCAGCTGTTTGACTTGTCTCACCAGCAATGCTCTCTTCTGCTGCTGCCTCAGATTTCTCAAGTTTCTGCAGGAATATGATCAAGTAGTATCGTAAAACTATGAGGAAAAGATTAATAGTAGAAAATGAAGTTTGCAATAAATGGTAAAGCTAACCTCTCCGTCAAACTTGTCAGCATCCTTTTCATCAACTTGAAAGCTCTGGTCTAGAACTTCTTCAGCAGATTCAGGTCTGTGATCCTCATTTTGTCCATCTTTTCTGACATATTCTGTATCATCCCCTTGTTCTAATTTTTCTGCCTTGATCTTATCATCTCTACAGCTCTCAAATCTTTCTTCCTCTGTCTGTTTTGGCAAGGGAAACAAATTATTATCTTTTGTGATTTCTTTGGTGGTCTCTGAATGGCATATGGTCTCTGGTCCATCAAGCACCTGGAATAACAAATTTGAGGCTTAAGCACAATACAAACCTGTATGCAGAGGATTAAATTCTTTATGCGTGTGTGTGTCTTTTCACATTCTAATACTGCAATCTTACCTCTTCTTCTGTAATGTTAATATTCCTTTCATCAGCATCTTCTTCTTTGTAATCTTTGTCCCCTTCACTTAATATTGGTGTTGTCTCTGGATCATTCTTGACTTGAAGGTTCTCAACTTTCTCATCTTTGATAGATATAGAACTGCTAACTTCAACTGAGGGGTCTTTTCCAGCTGCACCTTTACTGGCAGCATCACCTGTGGCAGGTATTATAAAGCAATCAGTGACTTTAAGTTCATTTGGAGTCTCCTCCACAAGAATCCCTGTCCTGAGACTACTGCAAAATTTTAATTCATTATGTTGATTGGTACTTACTAATTTCTTCCTCCTCAAGTGTGAGTTTTTCAGCATCCTCAAATGTGCTGGTTGTTTCAAGTTGTTCATGTACCTGCAGAATAGGAAAGAACATAGAATATGGATTGTTGAATCATGAAATTTTCAACTTATGCTCATGAACAATGCTCTTAAATTTCTAAATGTGGTTTGAACCAAACCTCTATTTCAGGCATCTTTTCTTCATTTTTTGCTTCTTGGAGGCTCTCATGTGATTCTTCTCTGATTGATTCTGGTGAGGCATCTCCATTTTGAGATTTATCATTTATGGACTGCTCACCTGTGTCCTCTTCCATATCTTCAATTTTAGCACCTTCATGTACCTGCATGATAGATAGGGGTAAAACCTCAACAACAGCTACAATGGTTTCCCTTTTCCCTTTTTTTTTTTTTTTTTTTTAAGAAAAAGGAAAAAACAGTGGGATTAAGTGTTAATGATCTTCCTAAACCAGACCTCATCGGCTTCTTCCTTCTTTGTATTAACTTCTATGTCCTTCATCACATCTTCATATTCTGTTTTTTCTTGAGAGTCCAGTTTGTATGCCTTTGTGAATGCTTCTACCTCCACAGCACCAACTTGTAGCTCCTGTTCAGAGATTATGCTCTTCTTGCTTGCATCAGATGTCTCAGTATCTAGTTTTAGATCCTACAATGTGGATATGATTACATCGTCATTGAATTATCTCTTGCATTTAGAAATGCCATCATTTTAGTAATGTGAACTTGGACATCAAGACATGCTAGAAAATTAGGATTTAATTCTTTTTTTTACCTCCTTTGCTGTGTCATTTTCTTCAATGCTATTGTTATCAATTGCCCCTGCAGCTTTCTCTTCATCCCCTAAAGTTTTTCCAGGGTTTTGAACAACTTCTTCCATGAGAGATGGAATTTTATCAGCTTCTGAAGGGATTCTCTCAGTTTTCTCAGATGTCAGATGCAATGAATGCTCAAGCTTCCTCCGTTGTTCACCTTCCTGCAAGATCTTTGAATCTTCTTCGTTCTTCAATATTTTGTTTTCATTTTGTCCTTCAGTCTCACCTTGCTTGATGTCATTGCTGCTTGCTTCAGCTGGTATGACAAAAGATTCCTCCTCATTGCCTTTCTCCTCTGGCAAAGCTTCCGTTGTATCTGCGCTCTCGTACTCAATTTGCAGTTTATCTTCTTGTCTTACCATTGAAGTGTTAAATGTTTCCTGTGGACTTTCAGCTGTTTGACTTGTCTCACCAGGAATGCTTTCTCCTGCTGCTGTCTCAGACTTCTCAAGTTTCTGCAGGAATATGGTCAAGTGGTATTGTAAAACTATGAGGAAAACATTAATAGTAGAAAATGAAGTTTGCAATAACATTCATGGTAAAGCTAACCTCTCCTTCAAACTTGTCAGCATCTTTTTTATCAACTTGAAAGCTCTGGTCTGGAACTTCTTCAGCAGATTCAGGTTTGAGATCCTCATTTTGTCCATCTATTGTGACATATTCTGTATCATCCCCTTCTTCTGATTTTTCTGCCTTGTTCTTATCATCTCTAAAGCTCTCAAATCTTTCTTCCTCTGTCTGTTTTGGCATGGGAAGCAAATTATTATCTTTTATGATTTCTTTGGTGGTCTCTAAATGGCAAATGGTCTCTGGTCCTTCATGTACCTGGAAGAACAAAATTGAGGCTTAAACATAATACAAACCTGTATGCAGAGGATTAAATTCTTAATGCGTGTACATGTCTTTTCACATTCTAACAATATGGCAATCTTACCTCTTCTTCTGTAATGTAAATATTCCTTTCATCAGCATCTTCTCCTTTGTCATCCTTGTCCACTCCACTCAATATTGGTGTTGTCGCTGGATCGTGCTCAACTTTCTCATCTTTGATAGATATAGAACTGCTAAGTTCAACTGAGGGGTCATTTCCAGTTGCACCTTTACCGGCAGCATCACCTGCAGTAGGTAGTATAAAGCAATCAATAATAACTTCATTTGGAGTCTCCTCACAATAATCTCTGACCTGAGATCGGAGACTACTGTGAAATTTTAAGTCATTATGTTAATTAGTGCTTACTAATTTCTTCCTCCTCAAGTGTGAGTATTTCTGCATCCTCTAATGTGTTGGTTGTTTCAAGTTGTTCATGTACCTGACGAAAAGGAAAGAATATAGAATATGGATTCTTAAATCATGAAATTTTCAAATTACGCTCATGAACAATGCTCTTAAATTTCTAGATGTGGTCTGAACCAAACCTCTACTTCAGGCATCTTTTCTTCCTTTTTGGCTTCTTGGAGGCTCTCATGTGATTCTTCTTCAGTTGATCCTGGTGAGGCATCCTCATTTTGAGATTCATCATTTATGGATTGATCACCTGTGTCCTCTTCCTTATCTTCAATTTTAGCACCTTCATGTACCTGCATGATGGATAGGGAGAAAACCTCAACAACAGCTATAGTTGTTTCCTTTTTCCTTTTTAAAATAAGAGTGGGATTAAGTGTTAATGATCTCCCTAAACCAGACCTCAGCTTCTTCCTTCCTTGTATTAACTTCTATGTCCTTCATCACATCTTCATATTCTGTGTTTTCTTGAGAGTCCAGTTTGTATGGCATTGTGAATTCTTCCACCTCCATTTCACCAACTTCTATCTCCTGTTCAGAGATTATGCTCTCCTTGCTTGCATCAGGTGTCTGAGTATAAAGTTTTAGATCCTACAATGTGGACATGATTACATCATCATTAAATTATCTCTTGCATTAAGAAATGCCATCATTTTAGTAATGGGAACTTGGACGTCTTGATATGCTAGAAAATTAGGATTTAATTCTTTTTTTTACCTCCTTTATTGTGTCATTTTCTTCAATGCTATTGTTATCAATTGCCCCTGTCGCTTTCTCTTCATCTCCTACCGTTTTTCTAGGGTTCTGAACAACTCCTTCCAGGAGAGATGGAATTTTATCAGCTTCTGAAGGGATTCTCTCAGTTTCCTCAGATGTTGGATGCAATGAATGCTCAAGATTCTTCCTTTGTTCACTCTCCTGCAAGATCTTTGAATCCTCTTCATTCTCCAATATTTTCATTTCATTTTGTCCTTCCGTCTCACCTTTCTTGATGTCATTGCTACTTCCTTCAGCTAGTATGACAAAAGATTTCTCCTCCTTGCCTTTCTCCTCTGGCAAAGCTTCTGTTGTATCGGCACTTTTGTAATCAATTTGCAATATATCTTCTTGTCTCACCGTTGAAGTGTCTAGTGTTTCCTGTGGACTTTCAGCTATATGACTTGTCTCACCAGCAATGCTTTCTTCTGCTGCTGCCTCAGACTTCTCAAGTTTCTGCAGGAACAT